TATTATATTGATATTTACATTTATAATATTTTTGCACCGGAGCGGAAACTGGATGCTGGATTTGGCCCCAAATAATTCCTGTTTCGATTCGATGAGGGAGAAAAAAATGGCGGAACAAGCAGAGGAGAGGTAAAATTGAGATGATCGCCGCTTTCTGCCCTTGGATGGTCTTCTTGATCTTTCTCTGCGCTTTTCTGCACCGGCTAGACTCCGTTCATGGAGGAGACTCCGTTCGTGGAGGCAACACCTCTTTTGCGTCTTCTTTTACTCGAATCCCGCGCGATCTGTACCATTCGAGGTATTCAATGAGTCCTCTTTCAGTTTGTTATTTTTTTTGGCCTCATTTTAGATTTCATTTGCAGTTTTGTTTGATCGAGTGGGGAAATAGGTCTGAGTTTCTTGGTTGGTTTGATTGGGAACAAATAAGTTTGCAGAGGTGGTTGATGATTGCATATGGTTGCTAGGGTTTTAGAATTTTCGGAGGAAGCACTGCTTCCATTTTTGTTTTCTTCTCCAGAGGATTCTCGTAGTGAGTTTTCTTTTTTTGATAAGCCGGCAGTTCAAGCTTTACTTTTCTAGGTCGTGGATCATGGCAAACTATGCCTCCTTGGGCAATTGCTAATTGGAGTATCGTAGTTATACTTCTCAAGGGCAATTTTTGGGGGGTTGGATGTTTAATATTTGTTTGCAGGACATTCCTTGAAGTGAAAAGTTGTTAAAATGTTGGGTCATTTACATACATACCATCCAATTCCTATATATTTACATGTCTGGCTGCTAAATTCATTTTTTTCATTTGAAACATTCAAATCTTTCATATCACTTAAAAAATGCCACCATTTTAACTTTTAAAAAGTGAAATGCACCTTTTCATACATCTATATGGTGGCATGTATGTAAAAATTGAACTTAAGGTGTTACGTATGTAAATACATAGAAATTGAGTGGTATGTATGTAAATCTTCCGAAAATATATAATTTTAACTGAGTTAAGAGTCTCTTCATGCAACAATTTGGTGCCATATGCGGTAAGACTTTCCCATACTTACTAAGTGGTATCTAAAATAATCAACCATCATTTGAGTTCTGGGATTTGAATACTCTTTGCCTAAATTAATAAGACTGTCTAGATCATTGTTGATATTTGTTTTCCAATTAGTCCAACAACAAGACTCATCTGGTAACTCCCCTATTTAGACATGTCAAACAATTCATACCAGTTTTCCACCCCCTTCCTCTAACCTCTCTGATTGAGTCCTTGAATTTTGTCTTGCTTCCCACTTATTGATGACAAATGTAGGCTCTAAAAACCCATGCGCCTCGGTGAATGAATATTGGAAATAATATTTCTAGAGATAATTTTCTTGTATTGATTTGGTTAATGTATTGCTTTTTAATCTTTTAGTTGATCATCGCTTTCGCTCCTAAGATACTTTACAATATTGGTAAACCTATCATGATCGCATGATGCAGCCTTTTAGGCAACATTAGTGGATTTCAAATGATATAGGGTTTCTAATATAAATCTATTTTGTATTGTAGAACACAAAGCAATGAATATGCATTTTGCATGTCAAAAGCTGCTAATCTCAACGATGTATACACCATCTTCTTTGGAAACAATAAAGATGTTGAAATCCAAACTAAGATGGTGGATTAATGACTTTATATTAGAAATTTATATTACAGAACCTAGGTGATTGAGTAAATTTCACTCATTTGACGAACTTTAGATTGTAGAAAATCTATCAACAATCAAACTTAGTTTCAAATAATAACCATACATAAAAGGAAATGTAGAAGAAAAAAAGAAAGGGAAAAGAATTCACTAAAAAACTAGGCTTTAGACTTGTACTAGGAGATAACCTTGCTTGGAATTCTTTAAGCATCACACTTAATTAATGATTAATTCATCAAAGAAAAAAATTTGTGCACATCATTAGGGATATCTTTATCATGCCATAGAATTATTTTTATGTGAATTTCTTAAATATACATTTATTTATGAAAACTCATTACATAACATCATGAACAACCAGACAAATTTCACAAAGCAAACTTTATTCTTCATATAAAATCGGAGAAGCGGGCCGTTGACTTGCTATTTTCTCGAATATAATCGATGTGAGTTGATAATAAAAATCATAGTTCCAAAAATGTTAATCCAACTTGGCAATAAATTCTCGAACTCTAGCTCATGGTTATCAATAAAATCACCAATGAATAACCCAAGATAAAGAGGCTATAACTTGTGAACCTTAAACAAGCAAAGTTTATTACAAGTAGAACAAGAAACCTAGTTAGGTTTATCTTTGATAATTTTGTTCATCATAATCTTGGTTGCAAATCTATGTAACTGAAATATAAATTTTGACTAAAAAATAGCTCATTTAACTTAATTAGAATCAACATAGATAAGACATGCATATGTGTTCCTTAAGCTTTTCATCTATTATGTCAAACTTAGTAAAATTCATCTTTGATAAATTGTTTAGTTGATATCCATTCAATTTAATTGTTGGTTATCATTCAAAAATATTTTTAAATCGTTACATGTAGTCTATCTCAACACCACACCAGGTACTTTTGCATTGACTATCAATGGTAAATGTGATTTCTTCAATAATTATAGATTCATTTACAAAATTAGTACGTCTATTTGTAAATCATGCAGAAAATTTGATTGTGAAATCAAAAAGAGTTGAAAGAACAAGAAGGATTTAATGCATTTTTTGAAGATGCTTGATAAAAAATCAGATAAAATAAAAATTTTGACTAATATTTTATCTTTCTAAAATTCCCAAATTGTAACATGTTAATCTGATTCATTGATTATTTTATATGATCTCAATTTTCTAGAAGTTAGTTTCTTAAAAATTCCTAGCTGAATTTTTATCTTATTACCTAGCTAGGAATCTACTTTCTTTCCTTTTCACATCTGCATTAGAATTATAATTATCATAATTAATAAGAATTTTCTTGTGAATACTTTCATGCAAATCATGCATATGAATGATAGATAATGCAATAAGATATGCTATATGTAAGAGTGATACTTAAATATTTTTATGCTTTCATACATTGTAAGTAATTCTTTGATGAGAAGATGATGAATAAACTGAAAAAAAAAAATGATATTTAATGATATGAAGTGAGAGATTGGATGTTTGGTATATCGATAGATGCAGAGGGTTTTTTGATAATCTATCTAATGTGTTTATGTATCTCCTTTTGCTGTTATTTGGACTTTGCATCTTTTCAAGGACTTATTAAGTTTGTATTTTAAAGTGTACACCAATTTACATCTTGTTAACCTTTTAGCTTTTTGTACGTTAACAACTATGATAGGAGCGAAAAGTTTTTGCAGGGAATTATGGCATAAATAATGTATTATATTTCTTTGGTAACAAATTAAAATGATATTATCCTGAATACATTAAAAATAAACACATACAATTCGAGAGGTAGATGATTTCTCACAAACCCTAATCCTAAGGTTCAAGATAATAATCACACATCCCTTAACCCTAAACATATTAAGCATTATTTATACTCTATAGTAATAACTAACAAAGGACTAAATTGTTTTTTTAGCTTTGCGCCACACATATGTTTTGAAATTATTTGACGGACGGTCCCGTAGGCACCGGTCTAATATTTCTCCTCTCTCAAAATGACATCATGTCCTTATGGTGAAAGAGAGGAAACCGTTGTTTGATCAAGTCATATGACTCCTACGTGACGTCATAATCTAACAATCATTTTTCATTTAATCAATACTTTTCTCTCAACTGTTGATTCCTGACGCATCGTTTTTAACTCAAGTGGCTTCAAGAGAACTTAAATATCCTAATCCTCTTTCAGAAAGTGTCTGTTGCATAAAACATAATATATTGGTGTAACAATGTTATTGTTGTGCACAATTTCTCCCAGTATTCTATTAATTTGAGCACTCTTACTGACTCTCACTAAACGGACGTCAACTAATGTACTGCCTTGAACGGCATCAACAAATGCATTAGATATTGAACCTATTCATAGATATTGTAGCATGCCCCTTGAATTCTTTCAAATTCAACATGTGCATACTTTTAGTTCCATACAAGTAAGTTCTCCCTATGCTCGAAGTGAGACATAGGCACTCTTTCTGTGAAATACTCGAAAACATGCTTCACACTGTCAAACTAATCCATTTTAAGATGTTTTGGTATTGTAATCATCCACTTTCCATCTGTAAGATGCATGCAAATTCCATTTATGCTGCCAGTCACATTATATTTCTTAAAATTATCTTCTAAGACACTTCTATCACTTCCATTAAGAACAACAATGATAGTTTTTGGATCATTGTAATGTGTTGTCACGGAATCCTTTAAGTCTATGTGAAGCTTAAGCTCCATCTCCTTAATTTGATTGTCTTATCTTCTATTAGAAGATTTAACCTGCTTTGGTAGCTTTGAATTCAAATTTTGGGGGTAGCAGTACAATGATGGAAGAAACCCCCGGTCTCAGGGTTTTTACATGCTCATGTTCCCTCCAAGATAACAATCTGCGGTTGCTTTGAATTGAAATTTTGGGGGTAGCAGTACAATGATGAAAGAAACCCCCGGTCTCAGGGTTATTACATGCTCATGTTCCCTCCAAGATAACAATCTGCGTGGCAACTGAAAAACATATAAAAATTATTGTAGGAGCTGTTAAATCAATGTCGGAATCTCTTCCAATTTTATGTCATGCGTCTCTTCCATGCTGTGCAAATCGCTCATGAATCCCAACTCTACGTCCTATATTGCTCTGACAATGGTCTTGAGTGTCACCAAGGTTTTGCACAAACTAAAGTCACCGCGAGGCACGACCATAGTCTCTCTCCTTGAACACCATTATTAGGAGTTTCCAATTAACCTTAGTATCGCTTGAGAATTGTAATTATTTTATACCCACTATCACATTAGTGCTCTCTAAATCCAATTGAAGAAAATTTTTCATCTTTTGAATATCTTGCAGTGTTAAAATCACCCTTTTACAAACTCTCTTACTCTTCTCCACCTGTCCTGTCCCCTCCCCTCCCTATCATGCTCCAAAACTTCCTTTGTCATCCACTTCAAGCCCCAATTGCTTCACTATTTGAGTAGAGCTGAAGTTGTGAGTGACCCTATTGTCTATCAACACCATTACGCTATGCTCTCTGATATGTCCCTAAAGTTTGATAGTGTGGTTCAGTGTTAACCTCACCACCGAGTTCAATGAGATTTCTTTCTCTTCTTCCTCCACCACAACCACCTCTATCTTTCTTCATTCCCTACCTCTTTCTTTTCACACATTGTGAGAGCTTGTAAGGTCTGATCCTTGCAATGGTGTCCTAGGGCAAACTTCTCATCACACCGAAAGCATAATCTCTCTAATTTTTCCTCTAGGGCATCTACTTGCTTGGCCGCTATTATTCCCATAATGGTTTTTTATTACGAAAGTGAAACTCTTGTACGACACAATGGCTTCCAGCTAGCTTGAATCGCGTTTGTATCACCAGGTTAGATCACGAAGGTGATGCCATGGGGCTTCCCAACTAGCTCAAATTGCGACTAAATTGCAAGGTTCAGTGACGAAGGCGACCTGCGATCTTGTCATTGGCCTCGAATTGTGACTATATCGCGAGGTTCCGTCTCAAATGTGACCCACAATCCTGTCTTTGGCTACCCGACTAGCTTGAATCTCTACCGTGAGGTTTTGTAACAAATGTGACCCGCGATTCTATCGTTGGCTTTCTAGCTAGCTCGAATCATGAATGTATCGTGAGGTTTAGTCACAAAGGCGTCGCATCGACGATTTCAAAATGATACGAGGCGGAGCAACGATCTCGAATGCAAACGACAAAGATTTCTAGTGGAGCAGCTGTTTGAATGCTTTGATACCAATTTGATAGGAACGAGACAAGTTTTTTGCAAGAATTAGGGCAGAAATAATAGATTATCTTTCATCGGTATCTAAACAAAAGGATACAATTTTGAATACATAAAAATGTAAACACCGACAATTTGAAAGGTAGGCGATCTCTCACAAACCTTAACCCTAAGATTCAAGATAACAATCACACACTCCCTAACCATAAACACATTGAGCCCTATTTATACCCCACAATAATAACTAATAACTGACTAAATTGCCCTTTAAAGTTTGTGCCGCATATAAATTTTCAAATTATTTGGCGAACGGCCCCGTAAGCGTCACTCTAATATACTATTAATGTTCCATTCTTCTCTAATGCCCCCATTTCCTCTCTCATGACCTGATTGTTGTGCTCAATCTAAAGTACCTCATTTAGATTTTGAGGAATGTTAATGGATTTAATATAGCCAAAAAAAAAAAAAGGTGCGGGGATTTGGTTGTAAAAGGATGCTGATGAAGTGAGAGATTGGATGTTAAGTATAACTTTTGGACTTTTCATCGGTGGCAATATCTAAGTTAGTATTTACATCCACATGAATACGAATATCATCACTAGAGAAGGAAGTGATTTAGTACTTGATTTGAACTCTTGGAGCTACACGAGCCTTGAAATGGGAGCTTCTGTTCTAAAATAGACATGAATAAGAGTAGTAATATCTAGACATCTTTTGTTCAATATGAATGTTTTCTGAAGTAGTTTCAAAATTTATTTTTGAGGTAGTTTCAGGAATGAATTCGTGAATATTCTTAGGTGTCAATTGAAAGGTTGAAGGTTGATAATTAAAATTTTGTTTTAAATAAAAGCTTTCTTTTTCTTTCTTTGTAGTGTTGTTGCCCCGGAGGAAATAGCATAAAAGGAGTGGCGTTCATAGGAATAAAAAAATTCCCAAATAGTTTGGTGGTAACACTTACCTTTTTTTGCTGTTTGTGTAACTAACAAACACACATTTTAAAGCTCTTCTATTAAATTTATCTAAAAGTGAACATGCACAAAGCAGAAGTAAAAAATAATTTAAAATATTCTTAGATATGTTGAAATTTGAAGAGAACAGCCATAGAACTTTTATAACCTAGGAGTCTAGACGGAATTCTATTATTATGAATATGGTTGTTAATATGGTTACTCCCCAAAGGTACTTAATGATATTATTTTAAAACAATAGTGCCCGAGCGACATTAAGATGATGTCATTATTTTTTCCCTAACTACTCCATTTTGTTGAAGTGTATGAAATTAAAAGGATTCATGGATAATCCCTTATGGTGGAGAGAGAGCCGGTTGAAAAAATTTTACATTATCGGAGTTAACTCTTTCAATAAGAACTCCAAGCTAGGTGATTGTGGTTTGTGGAAGGTGAAAAGATGCTACATTTGATTTTTCTTTCTTGAGAAATACTAGAGTAGTTCTACTGCATTTATTAATAAATTTCAAACTGCATAACGGTCATGATTCTGAATTTGGAGCACATTATGGAACAAATAGAAATGCTTATAAAATTTTGCAAGCGTGGAAGGTGAAAAGATGCTACATTTGATTTTTCTTTCTTGAGAAATACTAGAGTAGTTCTACTGCATTTATTAATAAATTTCAAACTGCATAACATTATATAAATTGATTTTTTTTCTGGAGAATTTGATATTAAATTTGATTTTTACTATTTTGCCATCAACACAACACTTTGTCTTAATATTTTAGTAGTGATTTAGTTTGAGCCAAAAAACCTTTCATTAGATTTTACTATTTTGTTATAGAATGAGTGCCTTATTTTATTGTTAATAGCTACATGAATTCTTAGATTAGAAGAGTCTCTTGCATCTTAGAATAAGTTTGGCAAATGATTTTAAATATTTCTTGTAAGAACATGCTATTTTCTCTAGTTCCTTGCCACATGTAATTTCTTTACCATGACATAATCATTACTCATCCGAAGGATTGAAATCTTGTGATCTATCTTCAAATATTCCTCTAGTAATGCCTTCATAATTGCGAAGATAGTTTCTTTCATTCAACTTGTATTTTATATTAATATTTTAATGCTCCCGATTGGATAAATGTTTGATAGATTTAGTGATGATTCTTAAACCATGCAATAGATTTTCAAAAGCTTTTGAGATTTTAAGGAAGAGGATAAAATTTCAGCAAACTTTAATAAAAAGAGCCCTTACAAGGCCCTCCGATTCTTGATCTCATCCAACAATGATGATAGAAAAATAAATCAACATTGTAGGCTAATAATATATATTAGGTACCAAAAAAGTATTAAATATTAGGTACCCAAAAAAGTTATGTTTCTATAACCACAGGCCAGCAAACCATAAAATTCCGACGGACAGAGTAAACAACAACAGAGAAGCCACAAAGCGGCTAATTAAATCCAACAAACAACAATAGGAGCGAATGTATAGGATTGAATCTACAACATAACCTTCTCTGATACCATGATCAAAGAAGAAAAAAAAAAGTGCAATGCAGTATGGAGATGGAGAAATCATTTCCTCTTGCTATTTTTTCTTGTATAGCTGGCCGCCATTCTACCATTATTAATACCTGGAAGAAATCAAAAGAAATTCGAGACATTTTTCCTAATCAAATGCAAAGATGGAAAGAAACTGTAAATATTCTTAATTTTGTATTGTTATGGAAGAAGACTACTTATACTCCATATTTCAAATTTCACACATGTGGGAACTGCACATATTGAAACCTATATCCCTTGGATTGCCACCGTGGTTCCCTTGTTTCCACATTGGATTGCTGCTGGTTTCTACTTTTTATTACCTCCAACTTTTTATGCATTTAACTTCACTGATATTCTTCTCCATCTTATTCTCTGCGTGCACTCTACAAAATTATGGAGCCAAATCTGAAAAGTAAAAGCAAAATTTTATCTACAAATTGACTCAGGTAAAAATTTATTGGGATGAATTGCTGGCGAAGAGAAAAAAACATTAAAAAAAAAATTGTCTGTAAATTACTTTTTATTTTTATCAAATCAAAATGCTTTGATGATAAGCTGGTTTGTTAGTAAAATTTAAATTAAGTATTTAATTGATGATTCAGATTAAATATGCAAAGTTGATGTTCAAGATTCTGTCTCGGTCAAGTGACGTATTAGATTATTTATAAACTCAATAGAATGTCAATTTTGGTCTTTAAGTGAAGCTACATGAGAAAAAGTTAAAAAAAATATAATTTAGCTACACTCTTTTGTTCTATATTGTATGTATAGATTTGGACATGAATTTGGTGTATGGCTCTACTGAGATGAAGTTTTTTGACTTGGTATCTGTTATGCTTTGCAGTGGTTCATTGTTGAAGGAAATTAATGCCTTGGTGGATCGTCACCCTGAGAAGTTAGCTGTGAGTTTCCATTTTTTAGTTTAGAAGATTTAGATGCATACCATGCAATTCTTATGTGTTTACATAGTGAACAACTAAACTTGAATTTTTACATATATGCCACCTTACCTATGAAAAGATTTATTTCACCTTTTAAAAGTTAATATAGCGGTAGTATTGATGTGATATGAAGGACTTGGGTGGTGTAAATGTCAAAAAGTAAAGTTTAGGTGTTAGATATGTAAATACATAGGAGTCGAGTGATATGTATGTAAATGACCCCTTTTTTTGTAAATTAAGAGTTCATGATTTGGGGATATGCTGTGAATTTGAAAAGTTAGAATATATGCAGATGGAGTTTATAAGAGCATCTAATAAGGGATATGGTGCTGATGTACCAGTAGTCACATACAACCATGCCAAGCAAAAGGAAAAAAATGACTCACGGTACCGCATTCTTCTTGTAAGTTTCTGAATCATGCACTGCTTGTCATACTACCCGGCAATTGAGATCATACAAACTATTTTACCCTAGATTGCAGTAATCTAAAACCATGCCAATGAACAGACGAAAATTTTCATATACTACTGAGTGCTTTCGTTCTTTAAGTAGAATTTTCCTTGGTAATGATTGGTTCTATTTTTAAACCTGAGTTAAGCATAAACTATTTTGCTCGAGGGAAAGCAAAAGTTGTTCATGAATGCCTTGTTATAATTATATTTTTTTATTTTGTTCTTCTGTAGATGAATGAAATTTCTTGGCTTAATCTTGTACTTTATTTAGGTTAGAAGATATTTTTTTTTTCATCAAACTAGCAGCATGTTTTAAGCCATTGTGTGAGTGTTTGATTTATGCATTCATGCGATAAGTGAAATATTCTTTTTTTCAGAGCTTTGGACAACATGGGAGAGAGCTTATTACAACTGAAGTGGCACTACATCTTCTTTCTATTTTGAGTGAAGAACATAGCCCACATGGAATTGCTGGTTTTGATCCTACTTCTCTAGAAAATCTTGTCATAAAGGTTGGTATGGCCTTGACTTCTCTAGAGAAAAATCTAGAAAATCTTGTCATAAAGGTTGGTATGGCCTTTCTCATATTATTTTTTTGATGTTTATTTTCCTCTTTTAACTTTTTTAGTTTTTAAAGTGTCAGTCATGTAATTTGTCTTTAGATGAATGGGTATTCACTGGTAAAATGTTATTCTGTGGCGTGCTTGGTTAAATTTTTTTGAATTTCATCTTCAGAATAGTTAATAGGTTGAACCTTGAAACTTGAAACTCATAGGCAAAACCTTAAAATTTATACCTTGTGCTATGAGTTAGGTAATCCCTTAGAGAACCGTTAAATCTCTGTTGAGTCTTGAAACTCATAGACAAACCTTTAGACAACCTTCAAATTAATAGGCTGAAACTTTGCAATTCAAGGGCTTCCTTATCTTTATATGTAATTCCAGGAGCATTTATCGAATATCTTGTTCTTTCTCTGAGCATAATGCTCTCATTTCTTTGATTTCTACTTATTGAACCTAAGGGCACCGACAACATGGTAAGCACTTTTTTGTATGCTACAGCCTTAATGGTTCTGGCAAGCTGTATATTTTTTAAAGAACTTTTTTTTGGAAAGATTTGATACCTTCCTACCTCTTTGGAAGCCAGAGGGCATGCCATCCGAACTATAATTCATTGGAATTAAAAAAAAAAAAATTGTATTCCATTGTTATTAGAAGTGATTTGAAGCGCGTTGTCACCTCCCAAAAGAGCCCTTAAGAGAGGTTGGCTTGTCTGTCGCCCAAAGGTAGGAAGGATCCAGCAGGTGCGATTAATCAAGTTGCTGCGGCAATATCCCGGTGCGGGTAAGCGGTCATGGTACAGGAAAGCAGTCGCGGCGCATAAAAGCGAAGGGAAAGCAGTCACTTTGTTTGGCAAAGCAGCTGTGACAGAAAAGTCATAACGCTGAAATAGCCGCTTGGATGTGGCTAGTAATGTGGTAAAACAACTGCGGCAAAGGAGGCCCTAGCAACTAGGGTAGAGGCTTTAGGTATAGAACCATGGCTCTGATACCGTGTTGAATTTGGAGAATAGTGTTGCATATTTTTATTTATAGGAAGAGAGCTATAAATACACATTACAAGATCCAATTAAAAGAAAGAAATAAATTCTGAAATAAACCAACTAGGAATAAATAAAAATGGAAACAAAAATAAAGCAAATAAAATCAAATAAAAGCTAATAATAATTGCAGCAATAATTAGGCTAATAATTCTAATATATATATATATATATATATATAAAGAGAGAGAGAGAGATTATACAAACTCACATGTTTGACTTATATATGACATCATTGTCATCTTCATCGTTGCTACTATTGTCATTCTAATCACCATCACCATGACTTTTCTTTTGTCATTCACTGTTATCATCATTGCCACCATTATTATTTTGTACTTCTATGTTTTGAGGTCTCGAAAGAGGGATTGATTGGGTAATTATGGAATAGTTTCTAAAGATGACTGATATCTTGTATTTGGTTGCTTTGATAAGCCTGTGATGCCATAGTTTCTAAAGATGACTGATAAAAAAGTGATTACCAACTTGGAATATTCTCATATCATCCATTGTATTTAATATAACTCCACCAATATCCCATAATATAGTTTTCTCGAGTGTATTTTGGGCTCCTAGATAATTGATGAAAATTAACTAAAATGGTCACTGCACTTCCATTGAACTATTTCATAGATTAGATTAATAAGAAATTTTTGAACAAGTATATATATGATGTCATCAAAATCAATACTCATCTTAGAATCAATAACAATACTTACAAAAAAGGAGTTATGAATAATCAAATCTTGAGCCTCTTCAAAGTTTTAGAATGATTTAATCTTGTCGATTTAGCATTATTGCATAAATTGATTTCACTAATAGAAGGCAATTTGCAATATTAGGTATCTTTAAAAGTCAATCCATTCTAAATGAAAGTCAACAAATGATTTAATGAGACATCCAACTTAAAATTTTTTAAACTATCACCACATAAAATTCGATTAAATAATATCTGGTAAGATTTCTACAGAAAGGAACTTTGATAACAGTATATGTTAGGGGAGTGATTTTAAAAAAGAATAAATCTCTCAAATGTCATCCATAAAAGATTACTCATGCAGTAAATTTTATAAAGACAAAGTGAAGTAATTCGATTGACCATTTTAGATATTTTAGTATGCTAAATTCAAAGGAGTTGGGTGATTCAACCTATTTTTTTAGAATAAAGAATTTGTAGAACCAAAAGTGCTAGCTCAAGTACTGTACGCCTTTGGCTTAGAAGCAAACAGAAGAGGGTGAAACTCGTGTCTTTCTATCTCAATTTCAAAGCTAGTGTGAGATGCAACACGATGTCTCTTCTTCTTCATATTTGACATTCAAAGTACTTACCCGACTTTGAAATGAGTTGTGTATTGCGCATCACATGGTGTCCTTATTGCTTTGTCTTTGTCTCAGCTTGAGGAGATATAAACTATATCAGTTTAAGGCAAGCACCACAGTATTTTTTTCTGTTTGTATCTTGCATCTGTGTTCCTGTTTTGTCCATGTCGGTTCCCGTATGTGTGAGAGCCCGAATTTACAATAAAAAAATCCTGACATAGTTTATGATGTGTGAGAGTATATCAGTGCCATTTCCATGTTTGACACAAACATGAATATCATTCAGATGTGTTTGTGCTTCATTGCATAGGGTTTTCAATAGGCCTGCATCCTAATGTAATTGTTTATTATATTAGGCATGTTATATATTTGTTTTGATATGAATATTCCATATTTAGAGTATGCTATTTCCGATGTAAATGAAGTATTTTAGTTTGTCTATTTTTTTAGTTTCAAATTTTTAGAGCTTTCATTTCTTTCTACTTTGTATTTGATAATGCCATCAATATAAATTAATAGTGTAGACACTCTCTTTAAAGTCGTATATTGAACATGTAATATATGGTATCTTTGACTTTATTTCCATCCTTTATTGAGCATTATCTTGATGAACCTTTCAAAAACACCCTTGAAAATGCTTTAACTCATAAAATACCCAAATTGACGAAGATATACACTAAATTAAATACAAGATTGAAAAGTTGTATTTTTTTATGCAGGCATATGTGTGTGTGTGTGTATCTGTGTGCTCGTGGAGACCGTAATACATGCTTGGTTCGATCATGTTGGTTATCAAAAGGAGCAGATCATCAATGAAATGTTTATCAATCTCTACATACTTGGTTCGATCATGTTGGACCTTATTATGAACAATACTAATGACAACTTTATTATCACAGAACAAATAGAGAGGAGCAGAGACTGACATACGCAATTCACTGAGCATGATGCATAGCCAGAGAGGTTCACAGAGACCTCAACTGACTCGGCTTCAGCACTGCTCCAGGCCACAACTGACTGTTTTTTATTTTTTCACGTGACAAGATTTTCCAATATGAATGAGCAATATCCTGAGGTGGATCACCGATCATGAATAGTTTTGACTCAATTCGTATCTTATAAATAACAATAGAACAAGAGGTGTGACGCAAAAAAAATAAATCTAAGCCCGATGTGCCTTTTAAGTAGTGAATTATCTCATGGACAACTCAGAGATGATGCTAATAGGGATCATGCATGAATTGACTCACATTATCTACTGCTTGACAAATGTCGGGGCGAGTATGAGCGAAGTAAATGAGTTTTCCCGCAAGCCGTTGGTATTGAGTCTTGTTTACCGAAACCCCATTGGGAACATTAGTTAATTTCTCATTGGGATCCATTGGGATTGCCACTGGTTTGCAAAGGATATTCTTATTCTCTATCAATAAATAAAAGTCATAGTTGCACTGAGACAAGTAAATGCCTCGAGATAACCAAGCAACTTCCATGCTTAAGAAGTACTAGAGTGACCCCAAGTTCTTCATTTCAAATGAAGTACTAAAAATATATTTCAGAGATTCCAATGCTGAGAGATCATCACCTGTAAGCACAATATTGTCAACATAGACCATAAGGATAACAATTTTCCACTTGAGGAATGCCCAAAGAAACGAGTATGATCTGATTTGGCCTGTGAAAAATTATGATCCATTGCCACCTTTGTGAACTTGTCGAACTAGGCCCTTGGGGTTTGCTTTAGTATGTAGAGGGATTTCTGCAGTTAACATACTTATCTCTGAGGAACAGTATAGCCAAAGCCTGGAGGGAGGCCAATATACTCCTCTGTGAGATCCCCATTTAGAAAAGCATTTTTGAAATCTAGCTGGAGCAAAGGCTAATCCAGATTTACAACAAGTGAAAGTAGGATTCGAATGGTGTTTGATTTACCAACCGGAGCAAATTTCTCCTCATAATCAACTCTGTATGTTTGTGACCAGCCTTTGACGACTAATCGTACCTTGTTACATTCAAAGGATCCATCAAAGTTAAACTTAATGCTAAAAATTCAGCAACACCTTGCTGCTTTCTTACCATGATGAAGATCCAAACATCTCATGTATGATTTCGCTAAAGGGCATTCATTTGATTCATTACTACTTCTCAGGAAGGGTCGACTAATGTTGCTTTTATATTGGATATGAGGTGATGATCTGTCAGGGCAACAACAAATCCTTTATAAGTCTGCAATACACTATGGAAAGAGATATTTTTCCATGGAATAAAAAGTGCTTGTTTGATTACATACCTCAATGTGAGAACTCGCCTCATTCAGAGTAGTGTGAATTTTGGGGTTGTCACTTGGAGCGGATTTCAATTCATGTTAGAGGGCTCCAGAGTGGGACCATGAGTGTGCCTGGCATAGACACGGAGAATGGGAGGAGGTTCTGGTTGTTTGGTAGGTGGTGGATCTATAGGGACAGAGGACTCCTCGGATATAATGGTAGGAGAAATATTTACAGGGGTCAGATAAGGAAGTGTCTAAATAATCAAGCTCCCCCTCACTTGAGGCAGTGACAAGGAAGTAGGGAATAATTTCAAAGAATAAGACATCTGCACTTACATAGTTTATTTTTGGTAGGATCAAGTCACCGATATCCTTTTTGAGTAGCAGAATATCCGAGGAAGACACATTTTATAAACTTGGGATCAAACTTACTACGATTAGAGGTAGTATTCCAAACAAAGGTCGTGCACCCAAAAAATTTGGGTTCCAGAGTGGTGAAGAACCGATTGGTAGGGAACATGACATCAATATGACTACCAGAGTTTTAAAGTTATTAATTTTTGTGGGAATTTTATTGATGAGATAGGTGACAACAAGCACGACATCATTCCATAACCTTTTCAGAACATTAGATTGAACATAATGGAGCGAGCTACTTTGAGAAGGTGTCTATTTTTTCTCTTGGCCGCTCTATTTTGTTGAGTGTTTATACATGAGTTATGATGGAGGCTGCCCTTACTCACCAAGAACTAACCTAAAATAGAATTAAAAAATTCACGACCATTATCAGTTCAAATGACATAAATTGAAGTTTGAATTGAGTCAAAATGAATGAGTGAAAGTTTTTAAATGTGACAACAACTTCATCTTTATCTTTTAAGATAAAAACGCACGTCATTCGAGTTAGTTGTCCTTCGTTTATCTTTCATATTTATCTTTCAAGATAAAAACTACAGTTTATTAGTGTAGTTGGGAGTGCGACAGGGTCTCCACAATTCAGTGTGAATAAGCGAAAAGGGAATAAAAGGCGTGTAAGGATGAGATGGATATGGAGCTCGATAATGTTTAGCTAATTGACAAATTTCACATTTGAAGTTAGCAAGATTTTTATTAGTAAACATTGACTGATACAATCGTTTTAAATACTAAAAAATGGGAAGACCCAAACAATAATGCAATAACTTAATATGACATTTAGTGGATCGAGAAAATCTGCAACTATTGAGAGAAGTCTCGACGTTCTCCGTGCCTTTCTCTTAGAAGAAGTAGAGCCTAAATACTCTTTTAACAGATTTAATCATCTTCCCCGAACGACAATCCTGAAAGACACAAACATTAGGAGAAAAATTAGCAACGCAATTCATATGATATTTCAACTTACTAACATATAACATGTTACAATTCAACAGAGGGACATGTAACACATATTCCGGTTGTTAATACAACCGATTCTTTACCAATAATAGAGTTACGGGTGTCATCAACAATTTTAACTGTCTTTCCCGTAGCCTGGATAATATGTTGAGAAAGTTTGAGAGCATAAAGTCATGTGGTTTGTGGCACTTGAATCAATGATCCATGAACCAAAAAAAGAAGTGCATCATAGAAGTGATATATTGACGGACATGGGAGGTTGACGAGACGGAAATGAACTGATTGGATCCAAGCAGTTTGATTAATTGCTCCATATGACTTTCAAGAAAGTCGGGTGATTCTAGAGTGTTTTGAGTGGGAGCTGGTTGTACCTTAGTAGATTCAGATGTCGTTGTGAGACCCTTAATAGCGGAGGAATTGACAGAAGATTTGTGTGTCGGTTTTCCATGGAGTTTCCAACTGTTTCTCGAGTATGGTTGAGTTTATGACAGTAATCGCAAGTGAACCTGGTGGCTCGAGGAGGATTTCATGAGCGTTGAATATTATTAGTGGCCAAGACATATGATTCGACTGAAGTGGAAGCGCTGAGCACGATAATTCTATGTCTCTCTTCGCTCGAATTTCCGTGAAAGAAGCACGAGCAGAGGGAATGATATCCTGACCAAGGATACGATTCCAGACTTCATCAAAGCCTTTGTTAAAGCCAGACAAATATCTAAAAGAGTGAAAGTTCTGTTGGAGATTCCCACGTGTAATTATAATAGATATTGCATTCCATCCATAATGCCATCAAATCATTGTAGTACTACGGTTCTCGATCTCTGTTTTGCCTTGCGGACCTTCTTGAAAACCTCATAAAGTTGGCCGGAGTTCCCTATATTTGAGTAGCTATCCCGAACCGCAGTCCATATGGCACTGACAAAAGGAAGAAACATTTACGAACAACTAATTGTAGTCTCTATAGAGTTAGTCAACCACGACATGACCTTCGAGTTCTCCACTTCCCATGTTTCATACGTTGGGTCAGTTTTAGGAGGTCCACGAATCATCCCAGCAAGATAGCCGTATTTCCCGCATCCCTTGACGAACAAAGAGACGGCTTGAGACAATTGAAGCAAATATGATCCGTTCAGCTTATGGGTTGTCATTAGGAAGTTCAGGTGGTTTTCTGAACCTCCGGTTTGTGGAGGGATTGAGATTGGTGTTGAGCCCGCCATGACTCAAGCACACCGTCAGGAGAAGCCTCAGTGGTGGAAGAATCCGCCATGATTCCAACAGAACCAAATGCTATGTTGGGTTGCCGAAACATAGGAAGATCAACAATAGGGAAGAAAGTAGCATGTGCAACAGCAAGGCAAGCAACAACAAGAGATAAGAACAGGGATCCATTGAGGAAGTACACGATGGCTTGTCTGTCGCCCAAAGGTAGGAAGGATCCAGCAGGTGCGATTAATCAAGTTGCTGCGGCAATATCCCGGTGCGGGTAAGCGGTCATGGTACAGGAAAGCAGTCGCGGCGCATAAAAGCGAAGGGAAAGCAGTCACTTTGTTTGGCAAAGCAGCTGTGACAGACAAGTCATAACGCTGAAATAGCCGCTTGGATGTGGCTAGTAATGTGGTAAAACAACTGCGGCAAAGGAGGCCCTAGCAACTAGGGTAGAGGCTTTAGGTATAGAACCATGGCTCTGATACCGTGTTGAATTTGGAGAATAGTGTTGCATATTTTTATTTATAGGAAGAGAGCTATAAATACACATTACAAGATCCAATTAAAAGAAAGAAATAAATTCTGAAATAAACCAACTAGGAATAAATAAAAATGGAAACAAAAATAAAGCAAATAAAATCAAATAAAAGCTAATAATAATTGCAGCAATAATTAGGCTAATAATTCTAATATATATATATATATATATATATAAAGAGAGAGAGAGAGATTATACAAACTCACATGTTTGACTTATATATGACATCATTGTCATCTTCATCGTTGCTACTATTGTCATTCTAATCACCATCACCATGACTTTTCTTTTGTCATTCACTGTTATCATCATTGCCACCATTATTATTTTGTACTTCTATGTTTTGAGGTCTCGAAAGAGGGATTGATTGGGTAATTATGGTTGTGTTTATGTTTATTTTAGTGATCTTGTATTTGGTTGCTTTGATAAGCCTGTGATGCTTGTCAAAATTTTTCCAGTTACTCTTTTATTTTAGTGGCGCTTTTACATATATACCACATAAATGTTATGAATTTACTTGTATAACACCTAATCGTTAATTGTTGGATTTATAAAACTCAAATATTCCTCATAAAAAATATCACTATCACTAATATTTAAAAGGTTAAATTCATCTTTTCAAATATGAGTGAAGTGTTATTATTTAAATTTCAAATTTTAATAGTTAGATATGTAAATATATAAGAATTATGCGGCATGTATGTAAATCTTTCTTTGTTTTAATACCCATCGTAGTCTCAGTCTGTACATGATTCTCTTATATATGGCTTCTATTTTAGAAAATATTATGTAAGGGTTTTAAACCACAAACGTTTTTGAATTAACACGCCCTTAAGGTTGGCAGGTAGTGCCAATGGAAAATCTGAAGGGACGTGAACTAGTTGAAGCTGGGGAGTTCTGTGAGAGAAGGAATGGTCAGAAAACATCTCTCTGTTCGATTAAAATCGGTTAGTTTTTTTTTTGCTTATTTCAAAGGCATAATAATTTATGGCAATTCTATTTCTTAGCAGGGCGTGGTGTAGACCTCAACAGAAATTGGAGTGTTGATTGGGGAAAAAAAGAGAAGGTTTGTTGACCTCTCATGAAAGAATAGATAAAACATTATGCTCAAATTTGCTTAGAACCTTTAGTTCCTGGTTGCTTCATGTTTATATTGTGGATGGCACTGGATTTCCTTATTGAAGATAATGCATAATTACTTTTTTTCCATACCAGTTGGAGAGTGTTGAGGAAGTTTATTTTAATACATGACATTTACTTTTGTTATATATAAGACCTCAAAATTTGTCAGAAACGCACCACTATATTGCCATTCCTTTTAATTTGTAAATTTTCTTATAGGATGACAATAGTTGAATTAGATAGTTTTACACTCAGATAAAGCAAGCTTTCTTCGGACAAACTTACACCTTCAGCACTAGAATTGAGATGCAAGGATTTGGTTCTTACAGAGAAAATGGAATCGCTCCTTCTTTATAGATAAATCAAGGATTAATATATTTTATTGAAAAACACAATTATTTATTCTGCTGAATTTTATGTGATTATGATGATTTTAGTCACCTTAGATTAGGTGCAGGTTCAAGAAATCATTGGGATGATCCTATTGGGGAATAAAATGAAACCTTACAGGGGGGGTGTTTTATGGAAGAAAATGGTTTGGAGAGATAATTTAAAAGTGGACATTAATAAGAACTTGTAATTGGTTGAAGCTATCCTCTTACTCGTGGTAGATTAATCCGTTTCTTGTTTGTGGTTTAGCTTTTTCCTCCTTGAAGCCTCCTTGATTTATTGTTGTAGACAGCATTTAAATCCATGGCTTCAAAAATCCTATAAGTTTTTACCAGCTTACCCAGCTAGCAACCACCTACATTAACTTAGCTTTAACAACTTTTAACTAACTCAAACTATAGGGATAGAACAGTCCAAGTAGTTATCTACCTAAATAGGAGGACGATATGGAAGGGTTCGTGGGCCTCCTAATCTTTGGCTTTTTCCATTGCTGAGGTGGCACTTAATGTGGTTGAGTTGTATGATGAGGCGTTTTATTGGTTGCTTACATGTAACCTGTAGCGCTTTGGGAGTTTAGGAAGCCCAATTAACATTATATCTAGCCATGTTTGTGTCTACAAGACCTAAAATATTTGATATAATTATATAACCCATTTGACGGATTTTTTAGCGTAGCCTTTCACTGTTTAATTTGTAATATTGTTACTTGTAACCTCCTTGACACTTGGACGTCATATGCCAGCACCATTATTATCTCTGTTAAAATTTAACCTTTTAAATTGTATTAAGCCATTTTGATTCTATTCCATTTATTTTAACCTTTTCAAATCTTTTTTATCCCTTGAAATCTTGTGATTTCACAAGTCTCTATCTTCGTGTAGCTCATGTGTATTCATGTTTTGACATGTGATGATCAATAAATTTATAACAATTTTGCCATTTTTCTAGACTTTAGTCGTTATCATCTTAATATGATTTTGCATTACGTATAAATGAATTATGATGTTTTTTTCTTCTTTCGATTAAAAAATCTTGAGTTATTATCTTGATTCTGCCTTCTAAACGTTTGCCTTTTTGAATGATCTTTTTTGTGGTTTGTATATTGTGTATTGTAGATTTCTACTTTTGTTATTATGCAAAATGCTTCACAATGTTTTTATACATAATATTTTCTTCCTTAATAATGCTTTACGGCACGTTTTCCTTAAAGCATTTCTTGTTATTGCTGAGGCATTTCAAAACCAGCATAAATGCTTTTTGAAGTAAACCTTTGATAAATGGTCAAGGAGTGAGAAGTGGATACATTCTTAATTACCTCGTATGCAGGATTATGATCCATATGAAGAAAATCCTGGAGCTGCACCTTTTAGTGAGCCCGAGGTTCAAATAATGCGGATGCTTTCAAAGTCATTCAATCCTCATATTTGGGTGAATGTGCATTCTGGGATGGAGGTACTTTACACTGTTCTTTGCTGAAAACCCCTAAATCTCTTGGTGAAGTTAGGCTAGCAGGCATAAATTGAATAACTAATAATTTAAGCATATTTTGGCTATTTTATGCTTGAGATTATCTATGGAAGATTAAGAAAATAAAGAAGGGATAACAGGGGGAATTAGGAGTGACAGGAACAAAATTTGGGTGATAAGATTTTTCCTGACTAATTGTAGTCAATGCCTAAAGCATGTCTTCTCTTCGATTCTGATCATTCTTATTATGTAATGTTGACCTCAATGTATGAGTCACAAATCCAACATTGGAGCAACGCTAATCATGATTTGGTTTAATCTCACATTATACACCTGAAGTTTGCTTTCTTGTGCATATTACAAATGTTGCTTAGTTCGGCTATGTCATTGCATTTTAAGCTGCTTGTTTAGATTCTCAATTGGCCCACTTAATTGGCTTGAATCGATAAATTTAAATTTAGGCCAGCCAGCCTTTTGCTTAAAATTGAGCACTTCATTAACAAAAAATGGAAGAATCAATGTTCAAGTCGAGTCTTAATCTGGCATAATCAGTTGAGCTTGGACTGGAATTAATCTATTGATAAAAAATTAATCTGTCTTGATCTTAACTCAATCACTTGATGAGGTTGGACTAGGAGTATCCATCTATGCATCTTCCGCAAAAAATTATCAAGGATAACAAATTTTGACAATGAGCATTTGTTATGAAAAGTTAATGTTTTATCAAGCCTGTCCATATAATTGTACTAAAAAAAATCTTGTGCTAGTGAGTACGTGGTAAGCCCCTTTGGATCATATGGTTGGGGCTACAATGTGCTTCTAAATGCTTGGATAAGGCACAGTTCGAAATGTTTTTTAACGGCTACAATGTGCTTCTAAATCATGATGCTTGGATAAGGCACAGTTCGAAATGTTTTTTAAAAGTTAAGTTGCAAGCCATTAGTTTTACTTGAATAAGAATAAAACCTTTGTTAGACATGACAAACTTTGTAACTAACCTTTTTTCTTACAAGATTTTTGTCTGATTTATGAGATCTTTTTGGATGATGCAATACATGATTGCTGACAAGGATCTTTTAGTTAGGTTGGGTTATCACAATTGCTAATTTAACCATGGCCAATGAAAATTATGAACGGCATAATCATAAGGTGTTGATCGAGTTTTTCATCTTTCTTTTACTATTTGTTCTTAGAAAATAGTGGCTTTACTTTTGGTCTGAATTCTTAATTGTTAAAACATTATAGAGCTTATAGGATAGCTTTGATCTAAAGTTCCCCTCTTGTGATCAAGAGAGGTGGTAAATTATGATGGCTTTCACTTTTGTGGAAACTTGTATTAGATGATTAGATCTTAGAGTTCTCTTAAGGGCAGAACTAGTCTCTTTTCTTATTTTAATTTGTCTTCTGAAATATTTAGTTGGAATCTCAAATATAAACAGAGCCAGGCGTTTTCTTTTGCTCATTTATAATAAAGTATAGCTAAGTAATTTTCTTTGGTAAATTTTTCTAATTTACTGCTTTTTTAAGGAAAAACATGCCTCAAGCTCCCTGAACTAAATTTCAGCTCTGAATGCAAAATACCACTTCTTTAGTTGTCAGACTTTAGTTTGAGTTGCAAGCAATCTTTTTTGTTTTGTGGTGCTAACTGTAGTTATAAAGAGTTTTTTTTAATTAATTTTTTGTGGGGCAGGGTGAGCCCTCAAACCTAACACCTTGGGATTCTTCACTTTATTTCCAGCCAATGTGCTACAAATTTGAGCACATAGTGAATAGAGAATCACTTAGCAAGACAAAATAAATTGTCTTGCAAAACAGAAAAATTGTTTTGCAACATAGAACTTAGCCCAGTATGCCAAGGGCAATGGTTTTGCGACTTTCTGATGCGTGCTGCATATTATCTTATTGACACTGTCATGATAATTATCAATGGCACAAGCAAGAATTGCATGAATTATTCTATACTATATGGAGAATTACATGAATTTTTACCAGAGTTATATGCTATGCTAAGAAAACCATGAATTATCAAGGAAGAATCTACTATTATAATTATTTTTTTGTGCTTTCCCTATATCTTGTTAATCAGGCTCTCTTCATGCCATATGATCATAAAAATGCAACACCAGATGGGTTTACATCACAGTTGATGAAATCAATGCTAAAGGGTTTGAACCATCATCACTTCCAAGATAGATGTTTAGTCGGATCCGGCGGCGGTTCGGTGGGGTATGTAACTTGATTCATAGTCATTCATCAAATACCAAAATTAAGAAGCCGTTTAGGATCACATTTGTTTTTTTTATTATTTATTTGAAATAAAACATGTTTAGTTGCAATGACTGATGTTAAAACACTCTAAACACAAAATGTTATTTTGTGTGTTTTAAAAATAAATTGATTTGTTTTTAAAAATATAAAATAAAAACATGCAAAAAATAAACTAAAGAAACATATTTTTTAAAATAAAAGAGTAATTAAAAACAAACACAAAATAAATTTGTTGCCAAGCCAGCCCCAAGTAATTTCTCCTAAATTAATTTTTCTTCAGTTATCTTGCTCATGGAACAACTACTGATTACATGTATGAAATTGCCAAGGTGCCATTTTCTTTTACCTTTGAGGTCAGATTTACTATCCAAACTTTAGTATTCACTTTTTTGAAGATGCAGTGACAGAAGCACTGTTTAATCATTTTTTTCTCATCTTAAACAGATATATGGAGATCCAAGTGCATCATCAAAAGATTGTTTTAAAATGTTTAATCCAGTTGATGCTGCCACTTTCCAAGTAAGTACTCTTGTTGTCATCAGGGCTAGGGTTTGCAGATAAGAATTTGAACTTTATATTGTTAAATCTGCTTTAATGTTGATCTACAAGCTCTTTTGATGTTTTATTGAGATTATAATATTGAATTTCTATTTAGTTAAGAGTTGTGATCTAATTCTATGCTCTGCTCAGGAGTCTGAGGCTTTATTATACAGAATGCAAAATTGAGGGAGTAATGATCCTCTGAAAGTGCTATGGAAATTTTCTTTGGAGTTCTCATAGCATAATCTCTCCTTTTATTCATAATGGTTATATAGTAAAATCTGTTATCTCAAACACAACCTATAGTTTCTTGCACAACGGACATATAATAATCTTTCTTTGCTGTGTGAGGCTAAGCCAACCTGCGATGCAACTTTAGATGCAGCCAAATGGTGCAATTTCATGGAAAACATGATATTAATATTTAGAAATTATTCACTTCCTCTGATGAATACCATAAAATGATAGAATAACATTTTTCTCTTAGGGATCATGAACCATTGTTGACATTTATTTCATTTTCAAATTGCCATACTAGAGTGAATCTTGATTTGGGATGGTTGATCTAATATGTATTTTTGAGAGGGTATTTATGTTGAAATCTTTGGGGATTAGCTATGGGCGATTAAGTCAATGCACATATCAAAAACCCTCCATATTATCAGAAGTCCCGCACTAGAAAGTTTTATGTATTGCTATGTATTAGAGAAATGGTAGGCCTGGTAGATTGTGTGCATCCACTTCCCTCCATATCGGTGGACCCAAAAATAACACATTATAAGTAAGTAAATTTCTTAAATGAGAATTACTCTCCCATATTAGCTAGCAACTCTTCCAAACCCGGCCCTTGGCAGAGGCCAAATGAAGGTATAATGTGCCTTTCAAGAGAAAATTTTATGGGGAGGGTGATATACTGCCAGAACATTGCACTCACTTTATACTAGATAACATTTTTTTTTTTCAAGGGAGAGAGAAAATCATACAAGAAGTTGAAGTATCATAAAAATGTTTTGTATGCCTCCAAATGATATTTTCATATAAATACTGAATAATGATAATGAATACACCACAAAACAATGCACAGAAATGCATAAAAAAAAAGGAATAAAGATCTACTCAATCAGATTTATGGACTCATTGCTATCTCAAGAATTGGAAATGAATTAGGTTGTGTTTAGGCGAGGTTGAGTGACATCCTCATTGCATCCTCCCCATGGACGCCAAGGGCCCCTTGATTTTGATGTTTAAAACTTAACGTAAAACTTCTTAGTTAATAAACCTTTCTTTTTTTTTTCAATATTTTGAGCACCATTAGTATACCATGAGCACATTTAATGTTGGTCAGGCCATGCGAGTTTCCAGGCATTTTCATCATTCTATTGACACTACTGACATGTACACTTGCGAAGCAGCAATGACCAATAAAATTTGGTGATTGAGGTATAGCCATTATAGCTTCATGCTACTTCTGTTTTGTGTGCTGACAATTGAATTATCGTGAGACTATAAAGTATGCTAAATTCTGTATTATGGCCCCTAACTCCCAAATTATGGGAGTAGGACCAGCTCTTCGAGCTGAAAGCTTTGTCTAATTAAATATAGCTTCTTCCCCTAAAATTCTATACGGACCCATTTGTAATTTTCTCTTCTTTGTGTTCCAAAGCATGACATTACACAAGGGCAACTAAGTGCCCCCAATAAATGTTAATAGTGATGTTGCTAACCAATAATAAATATTGATGTCAATCCTTACATGTTAATAAAAGTTATAACATAACTAATTAATCCTTTTTTAAGAGAACGTACATATTGACTATTGGTGTCATTCTCGCATTCTTTATGGTAACAACAATGATGACATGAGTTTGTTATGGAATTAAACTGTTTCCTTATGATGAAAATGCGCTGAGCAAACCTAATTGTTGGTCGACCTTTGGGTGCTTAAGAATTTTTATTAAATTTAGACTGGTTTGAATCAAATGAAATAGGGCTGGAATTTTTGACAATTAATTCCTACTAAAATTTTTGGTGGAGGGAACATGACATTCATCAATTGGATTAAGTTATATAAAATTCTTGTATTTTTTCAATAATGTTGATCTTTTTGTTTGTTTTTTTTAATTTATTTTTTTATTTTTTAATCTTTCTGTTTGAATTTAGTTTCTTCAATTTCCTTACAAGAGGACCGTCATGGTGGTTGGCTTCTTAAGTGCGTACGACCATGGGTGTAAGTGAGCCAAAGTCGACTCGTGAGCCAGTTCAGGTTTGGATCAATAAATGACTCATGAACTGAGCCAAGCTCAAGCTAACCTGACTTGACTCGTTTAAATAAATATTAATATAAAACATATTCAAAATATATTAAATTTCAAAATAGTCTCTAAATTATTATAAAAGAAGTAAAAAAATGATATTTTGTATTCGATATTAAGTGACTTGTCATTATTTATCTCGTAATTTGTTCTTCTATTTAATATTTTATTATAACACTAGTTCAACTAAATATTTTTACTCTATTTAATGATAAAGAAGCCGATTTGTGAGCCTCCTTGAACTCATAGACTTAAGCTCAAACTCGATTAATTAATCAAGCTCAAACTCAAACTGAGGGTGGCTCAAGCTCGACTCGACTCGTTTACATCCCTACCTACCACTGTTGATGGGGATGGTTTGGTTACTACTGCTGTTATTTGCCCTTAAAATCAAGAAGTCTATCATTCTTTGCCCTCTTGTTTGCAGTTCAAATATTTGCCAGCCTGTAAGAAGTATTACAGAATATTGTGTGCTAGATATGCAAAAACATAAGGATTGGGTGATATGTATGTAAATTTTCCTAAACAAAACACATTGTTGAATTTCCTTTTTGTTTTAATTGACCCACAGAGAGTTATCAAGGAATGGTGTGGTGCATTCCTGTCCATATTCAAGGCAGGCCCTGAACTTCTAAAGAGCGCAAACATGACGCAGGGCCGATGGATTTCCATAGGCGCAGAGTCGCTGGAAGGGCTGTTAGACGGCAATAGCAGAGAGAAGGGAAGGAAGATGGACGGTCTCGAGTTTGGAATGAGCGAGATGAGAACCTATTTTAGGCTTTTCATGCTCTCATGCGGCCTGTTAATGTTCATGTTCTGTTCCAGGATTTCAAAGGCCAAATTTCGACAGGGTTGTCAGTACATGTTGTAATTTCATTCTTTTTGTAGTGTTTTTTTTTTTTTTTTTTTTTTTGCAGTAAGTAAGTTTTTCGGTGCAGGAGGAAATGCCTAACAAACAAGTACATAAGAGTTCTAATAATAATATATGTGCTGCATGTTTGTTGCAGAACTGAGCAAAAATCCATGGTAATGCATCTGTTCAGGTTTTCAACCCTTTTTTTTGGTTAAGAATAAAGTAAATGACCACAATCAATTCTCACATTACAATCTCATCAAAATATATTGAATAAATAAATAATTCATCTGTTCACTGATGAACCACATCTCATGAAATACTAAATGATGCAAAAACATAAATTTATGCACTTTAAATAACCCAATAACATCAATGACTGTTGACAGATAGAAAATTAAGGTTGACCAACCTACTGCAAAATCAAACCTATATAAAAACTAGTGTTGAATCAAACATCAAGGAAGCTCGCAACATTGGAATGAAGAGAGAACCTCCCATTCATCTGAATTCTTCATTTTTAAACAAATTGGCTTTCCATCTCTCATTGGTACAATTAAGCAGAAAATCCCTTTTCATAAGAAAGCTTTAAATCTGCTTCAAAAAGAAAGATTTGGAGCCTCTGATACTAGAAAAGTTGATATGCCACTTAATCCATCAGAACCAAGAAAACCTTTTTAGGCTCTGAATGTTCAAAAGCTAGTGGTGGAAGCTGCAGAAACTGAACATTTTAAATGATGATAGGTAGCATCAGCAGAAATGGAGACATTTCAGTCGTACCAATTGAGGTACCAGAGACTGGAGCAGCTGCATGAACACAATAAAGCTGAAGCCTACTTGCGATGCTTTCTCTTTGCTTCCGTTCTCTGCCGCTTCTCTTCCTCCCACTCTCTCTCAAGAAATCTAGGACCAGATGGTTAAGAAAACAAACAATAATTTGCATAAATAGCCTCAAATCTTTTGATTTCATTAGCTTAGGAATCATTTGGGACTAGTATATATATTTTATTTGTTTATATTTTCACATGAGAAAATGATATATTCAGAGGAAGGTAGCAAAATGTCCCTTGATTCTTTGATGGAGCCATTTTAGTCCCATATTCTATAAGAGTTAATTTAGTCCCTAACATTTCTAGACACGGAATAAAATGACCAAATGTAAATAGTCTGGGGACTATTTTGACATTTCACTAAATATTTTAAATATTGTTTTGTTTTGTTTTTTTCAAATTGAATATTGCAAAGGTTTTTTTTTTTTTGGAAGAGGGGTTGCAACAAAGTCATCCACTTAGGCACGAGGATGGATAATGGTGAGCGTGGCTGCGCAATGGGTTGGTTGGCTGGCAAAGGGTGTGGAGCTAGCCAAGTTGGTGCGCAAGATCGAGTGGCTGAGAGGTCATCTTTTGCAAAGATTTAGGATTTTATTTGGGTGTTAAAAATAAATGCTTGCAAAGCATTAATAAACTATGGTTTACCCAAATTTATAAAAAGAAATAAATAGTGATGCCAAATAGGCTGGTAAGGATACTGATCAAGCTCACGCCGGTTAGCCTTGCCTGCAACTTCCTTCCCATGCAACCTTGGAATTTGTTCCTCGGCATAAGCAGCTCGATGTGGCATCATGCCTCCTTTTCTATCATTCCTCTCCCTTGCATCAAATGATTGAGAAATCCCCATTGTCAAAGAAGAAGTCGATGGCACGACCGCTGAATAATCCCCACCCGATTCAGATAAATGGTCTCTTTTAAGTTTCCGCCGCTTCGCCGCTGTTGGGTCCAAATCATCCTTCGAAGGATTCCCTTTTTCTCGATCCCTTTCGTCCGCCTATTACACGGAGTAAAATGTATTCTCAATTTCATAGACAAATAGGTTAAGAGGCATTTACATGCATATCACCTAGTTCTTATGTATTTACATATCTAATACCCAAAATTTACTTATTTTTTTACATTTATACCACCCAAATCTTTGACAACACATAAAAAATATAACTATTTTAACTTTTAAAAAGTTAAATACACCTTTGCATACATAGATAAGTTGGCATATATATGTAAAAAATAAATTGTAGTTGTTCGATATGTATATGCATAGGAATTAAGTAGCAAGTATTTAAATCTTTCAAAAAAAAGAAAAAAAAAATTGAACACTAGCTGCTTGTTCATCCAAATCATTCATATGTGAATAAAAACCCAATCAAATACTTCATTATAATTGTCTATTTAGCTCTTGCAAAAAGCCATAAAAGTCATGACTTTCAATCTGAATGTCAACAAAAACTAAGTCTCACTTGATTTTTTTCGTCAACGATTCAGGCTAAGTTTTGTGTATCCTTGTTATCTATTCATCCTTATAAGCGTTGTAATTGTTGTATTTATTAAGTAAAAATCTTTTCTAAAATTCTATCCACGTTTCAATCAATCAACTAATTCTCTTCCTAATCCTTTGACATCATTTTTATCAACCCATCTTATTGGTGCATCTTCAATCCATGCCAATGACACAAAAATTAAAGGGTTCAACTAGAATAAAGAGAAAACCATACCTTAAGAGATAAAGCATCTCGCTCTTCACGTTTTCGATCCCGAAAATCATCTTCTCGTCTACGTTTCATATCTTCCTGAGAAACATTCTCCTCAGAATGCCTCCTATCTTTATCATCATGCATTGGAGACAGCCTTTGAATATGTCTGTTTGTACCACTCTTTCTATCTGCCTCTTCATCTCTCCTATTGCCTCCAACAGATTGAGGAACGAAACTGAGAGGAAGTGGCGGAGGCGGCGGCAAATTTTGACCATGAAATCTCTCATCAGATTTATCAGCGGAGATTTCGTTGTATCTAGTTTTACCCTTCTCATCCTTCATTTTATCTAATGGTTTATCAAGAGACCTATCCGCTACTCTCTCTAGCATTCTTTCACTGGAACGCTCTCTACTATGCCTTTCCGTCGATTTATCCCGTGATTTATCATGACCGTCCTCACCACGGTTTGTATCAGATCTATCCAATCTTTCCTTATGGTCTTTGTCAAACCTTTCTGAGACCTTTTCTTTCAGTTTTTCCAACAGCTTTTCTGAAGATCTGTTTTGGTGTTGTTCATCAGGATGATTCCGTTCGTGATCTAAAAGATGAGTTTTATCAAGTGATCTTGATTCCGAAAGATAGTCATCTTTTCCTTCTGGTTCGCCCTTCCTACGCTTACTTATCCGTTCCTGTTCTTCAGCTGTGATTGTTCGTTTCTGTTGTTTACTTGAAGAGTCATCAGGGAGAGTGGAATGTGAAGTTCTTACAGAAGTACTTCTTGAAAATTCAGAAATTTCGGTAATATTATCCGTGGGTTTTATAGATCCAGTTTCCATCCTTGGAAGGCCACTAGGTAAGTCAGTTCTTGCTGCAGAAGTTGGTAGCTTCACTGATGATTGAATTAAGTTACCGTTGTTAGACAAGGGAGTGGCAGTAAAGCCACTCTGCCTACCCTCAGATGGATGAGCTGAATCTCTGTCAGAACTAGCAGAAACCTGATTTGCAGATCTACCAATTAATTTCCCAGATTTAATTTCTTCCTTTGCCACTTCCTGTTTTGTCTGCTTTCCAAGGGAGTTCTGTGCTGAACGTTTGAACTGAGATTTTGACTAAACAATAAAAAATGAGTAGTTAAAGGTCAAATGTTTAAACGTAAAACAGCATCATAATCTAACATTTAGAGAAGCCATTCAGCTTTTATCTTTTTACAGAAAACACCAATGAAACGAGAAATTTCTTAATCTATACTGAACATGCATCCAGAATCTAAAGCTTCCCAAACAGTAGATATATTATTAAGACAATGAAATAAATAACAAACATGGAGAAAATCTCAGTTAAAAAAGGTTAGCATAGCTATAATGTGCAGATTCAAGTGATGCATAGAATACAATAGTGAGCGAAAGCTTACATACCAAAATCATGCAATGTACATGTGTAATACATTTACATTTGAGTAATACAAAAAACATTAAGTTATCAACATTTTTAACTATTGCGAAAAAGTATAGAAGTTACAGATTTTTAAGTCCAAAATGAGAATGCATAGTTTTTACACTACATTCCCACATTTTATGATAAATACAATTTCTGTTAGTCTCAATAATATGTAGAAGCGATTTCAACCAAACGTTTTTTTTTTCAATGAACATCTCTTTCGTTCCCTCAAAAAAGTTTTCATAATTGCAGACATGCACTTGAACACCAGCTTTATTAGGCTGAAAAAAATGAGATGAAGATGCTGTGAGCATTTTTTATTCTGATTTGGTATGCCATCACATGCCTCGCAACTGTTTAGGCTACAGCTTGATCACATAAAAGTAAATTATACGATGCATATATGTAATCTAATCATCCATATTTTGGCTCGGAATCATTAAATTAAAAATTTATATCAAGTGAACAATACACAAGTATTTTTTTAGTATACTTTTAAACATATAGTTCAAGAAAAGTTAAAAGAACCTATAAAAATAGATCTCAATCCTGTCTAAAATTTATTAAAGAATAAATCTCAATCTTGTCTCATACACGCATCTTATTTTGCTAAGATTGAAATAGAGAATACAGTTACTAGAAAACTGGCATAATAAATGGCAACCAAGTTAAACTCTACTCCAATGATTCCCTACTTTCTGGTGTTCTAAAAGAAAAATTTAAGCTGTGGATTCTTGAGGTAAAGACAGCTGTTCCTCTCGCGCAAGACAAAAGATCACTGAAATATTAGCTAAATATGACTAGGCAATCGCGCAAGACAAAAGATCACTGAAATATTAGCTGAATATGACTAGGCAACAAAAGCATTAATATTTTATCAAGAAACCATCATGATCCACATGCTATAAAAGGAAAACATTCTTAGTTGTACACAGCTATAGGACTGCAATTGGTAAGGGCTTGGTTGGGATCACTTTTATAATTTATTCATTTTTTATTCTATATTAAAAACATTTTTGTTTAGTATATTTTAATTAATTTATTTTTAAAAACACTCAAAATATCTAAAAGTTATTTTGAGAGTTTTTAAAAACAATTAAACATGTCATAACATTCCAAATATGTTTTATTTCAGGTAAAAGCATAATCAATGCAAATTAAAAAATAAAAATCAATGGTAATCCTAAACGGTCCCTAAACAATTGTCACATGCTTGCACTGATTTGTCATTTTTGAAGATACATATTGTATCAACTACTTTACGAAGCTGCAAACTATGAAGATAAGCTAAAAACATAGTTGACGTGCCATAAAACTGGATTAATACAAACATCGATTAATTTAAGCAACCTAAAAATAGATGTTTAACTTAAATATTTCCAATTAAGTGGATTTAATGCGACAACATACCTCAGGTTCAAGTGACGGTACTCTATTAAGCTCTTCCGTATTCTTCATATTACTTAAAGCCTTGGCACTCGTACTTGATTGATGGGACAAGGAAGAAGTGGACTGGCCAGGTAACACATTAGTTGATGAGGCAACCCTTTGCCTTTGTTGTGTCAATTCAGATTTCATGGTGGCTGAATTTTCAGGGCGTTCTGATCTGCCCTCAGCTGATCTTGCAGAGACCACCTGCTCTCTCACTGGATGATCTACAGAGAGATTAACTGCAGAGGAATTTCTGGAACCATTCATCTCATTTTGATATTGAGAGACAACGGGAGTAGAACCATTGGGTAGGCTACCAAGGTTGATAGTAAGAGGTTTAGCTGTAGAAGCTGCGGGCTTAGTAAGTTCAACATATCCCATTCCAAATTCTTCTTCAGAAACCCATGAGCTCTGAATTTTGGAAGAAAAAACTATGAAATAAGGTTAAAAAAAAGATTTAAATGATGCAAATAACTTGAATATATAAAACATGAAAAGAAAGAATTAGATTCAAATTTCTCAAGAAAATTTCTTTTATAGCAAACAAATGTGGACCTACGGATGCACTAGATTAAACAATTCAGCTATACTTTGCGCCAAACGAGCTATCTCAAGGC